TCTCTCTCTCTCCCTCCCGCCCTCCTCCCCTCTCGCATTCTCATCTTTGTTTTCCTTTATTTTTTCTCATCTTTCTTTTATTTTATTTTATTTTCTTAGCTTTGTTTTCGCTTTCGTCTTCCGTATTCTTCTAATCCTTCAGTTTCTTCTTCTTGCTTCTCTTATCGTTTTGTTTTGTATTGTTGTTCTTGTTTGTTCTTTTCATTCACTCTTAATTCTTCTTTTTTCGTTCATTTCCTTTCTATTTCTCCCCTATAATAATTTTCACACATTTCTTTTAAACAAATTATTTTGTTTGCTTTTTAGGATCTCTCCCTTGTCAGACATTCAATAATATACATAATCATACACACTTATATAAATAAGTAAACAGATCAATAAATTCATAAATGAAAAAGTCTACAAACAAACACATAAATACATAAATAATAACCAAAAATATATATAACGAAACAAAAATATAAATACAGAAAAACTGAAAAAATATACCCACATAAAAAAAAATAAATAAATAAAGCCCAAACCACACAACTTTGCTTTTCAATCAAGAGCAAGATAATCAACCATACCTAACAATCTTCAAAAAATAACTTCCCTCCCTAAAAACAAGACCTTGCGGCACAAAAAATGCCCATAAACCTCCACATCAAAACCGCAAACTTATCCTTTCAAGATCAAAGATCAGTCGACCATTTGACATTTCCTCACCTTCAAGTGTCAATGGTGACTTGTATAAAATCACTTGTGTGCAAGAATTCTGATCTTAATGAAACCGTTTTTTTACATTTTTTTATCTTGCGATATCCCAACAGCACTTTCCTTTTTATTCACCTGTTTCACACGTCTCTGATGCAAAACAAGCTTTCAAGTCTGTTTGCATATCAGAGAATGTACAGCTCAGACCATTTTCTGTTAAAAACTTTCTACTCATAATGGAAATGACAGTGTCACCTATTTAAAAAGACATATTACGCATGAACTTACCTTGGTAGCAGTCCTTCTGGCACTCCATGTATTGCCCTATACAAGTTCTTACAGCAGGAAAACCACTAATCCACACAAGAGAGTTGAAGAAAATGTACATACACAAAATGCTCTGTGATTATTTATATCTTTGAAACCCTTTGCTGTGATCAAATCTGAGCTGGTGATAAGTGGTTCTTAAGTTAATAACTTCATCTATAAACAATAACACGTAAAATCAGAAAAAATATATAAGTAATAAGATTTTTAAATAAAAAATGTGACCTCAAAGTCTATAAAAGTGAAAAAGGGTCTTGCAATTCTTCCTCTATCTCATTAATTCCTTTAAATTGTGTAAAAAAGAGAAACAAAGAGAAATTCCAGAAAGTTTTCCTCCTAGCTAAACTCATAACAAAGAGATCCTATTCATATACGCATCATCTGGGACACCAAAATGGATCTCCATATTTAAACTCCAGCATACAATCTTAGCCAAGAACACTTGAACTTTGACCTCGTGCATACCTGACCACAACAACAGTTAGATGAATGAGAGGCCAAGAACAGATGGTAGGATCTACTTTGCACCCTAGGACTTAATAATGTAACATCGGTCAAAGATGGTGGGACATTTTATCTGTCCTTTCAATACTTCTGTTATCTCATTCAAGAGCAAAGACCATGATGCTGCATGAAGAGAGTGCATAAATTAACTATATAGAAACAAACACATATCTTGGAGAAAGCTAAGTCAAGAATGCAAAAAGGATGTTTGTAAATAAATAATGCTTCAGGATACATGGCCACTTCACAAATAGTACTTCACTAGTATAAACTTCAGTGTTTAATATATTCATCTTCAAGAATTTATCAATCTTCCACCTTTTTCTTTTCAAATGTACTAATATCATCATCCAAAGTTCTTATTCTTTGTGCAAAAATAAATCTATTTCTATCTATGAAATCAAAATACACTACAAATAACTAGAGCACAGGTGACCCTCATTGTTCTGGCTGCCTCACTATAAACACTCACATGTAAACACTTGAGAAACAGCAATTTCTGAGTGCTTTGATAAACCAATCCAATATACTTCATTGCTTGAAATAATACATCAACAAGAGAGGCAATGGCAAGGACCAATATCAAAAGTAAGGCTGATAAACTAAGAACCACATTTTATGTGATGAACCAAAAGAAAATAATTGGAGCAAACTGGATTCTAAGTGAATGTACATTTTCTTTTAAAATATACCCTTAAACTTTAAATAAAAATAATACATGTATATATGCACGCACGCACGCACGCACGCACGCACGCACGCACGCACGCACGCACGCACGCACGCACGCACGCACGCACGCACGCACGCACGCACACACACACACACACACACACACACACACACACACACACACACACACACACACCTTTTCATCACATTCCTACACAAACATATCCATACATACATAAATACATACTAAATAAACCATTCTAAGTGATAAACCATAACAAGCAGCAGTCCCCTGCCTTACCTGTTTGGAGCTGTCTGCATCTGTGATGAGCCCCTCAGCCCACTGCAGCGAGTTTGCACCAACGAGGTCGCTGCCTGACCGTCGCAAGGTCCTTACGGCCTCCCCCGTCTGTAGCACCAGCCTGTCTACCTGCTGCTGAGTTGAACTTAAGAGGAATCCCTGGCAATGATTAAAAGGAAGAAAAAGAAGATTAAAATCTTCAATGGATTAGATGAAATTATAAATGCTAGAAATTTATCAGAGAAACATGATTTTTTAAAGTTAAGTAAATATAAAGTAAATCCAAAAAAGAAACCAAATTTCTCATGGAATACATTTACTGCTTTACTTCAAACTTAACCATAATTCTCTTTCAAAACCATTTCTTTCATTGTTGTCACACTATTCCCAACAATTTTTTCCAATGTTGAAATGCAACCTAGAGTGTATTTTAAGGGACACTTCAAAACCACAAAGCAAAGTAACCTATACCTCTTAAATCATCTAAAACTGGCAACATCCTAAGATTGATTTAATGTTGACAAAAAAAGTAAAAATGACTTTAAGGGCCAAATCCTGAATGCCTGGGCACAAAGTTGTCTAATGCTTCACCAAGAAGTTACTGACCAGGAGTTACATATGAGCAGTGGTGCTTCTGTATCACTACTTATTGAAGATTATTTTACAAAGCCTGAGAGGATTCTTTTCACCCAGCTGCCCTTTTACAGACCTTTACTTTTGTTCCCAAGTTAGAATTTATTTCAGAAGATAGAGAATATACAGCCTTTCAAAAAAGGGTGAAATTATCTTAAAAGTAAGAAGCATGATTAAATTCTAGGGAATAAACCTAAACCTAACAAAGAATCTACTTCTGTTTATGGATAGACTTCGTATTTACTTCATCAACAGTAATTTTGCACAAGCCCCACAAACCTGTTGTAATCTGAACGCCTGTCCATTGGAATACTTCATGGGCGACACATTTCTATACAGTGTGTCTTGTATCCTGCGCATGAGGTTCTCTGTCCGTTCAGGGGCCGTTTTCATGCACAACATGGCATCGTGAACGGGGAATGGCAGAAACTTGACACTGTAGTTGCTGTGATTGGGGTAGGAAAACATGCAAGTCATTATTCATTTCACTGTTATGGTACTGACAAGAAATGGGGTTGAGGAAGTGGTTGCAAATGGGGAGGGGGAAGAGGGAGGGATGAAAAAAAATGAGGAAAGGAAAGAAGATGGAGGAGAAGGGTGAGGAGGAGGAGGAGGAGGAGGAGGAGGAGGAGGAGGAGGAGGAGGAGGAGGAGGAGGAGGAGGAGGAGGAGAGGAGGAGGAGTGGAGGAGGAGGAGAAGAAGAGACAAGGAGGAGGAGAGGAGGAGAGAAGGAAGAGGTGTAGGAGGGAGGAGTGAAATACAAGACATAAAAATCATAAATATGTCAAGACAAGTATATGGTTTAATTTCTGAGCATTTTTCCAGACAATCTAACAGTTCCCAAACCAAAGAAAGTAAATCCCCATTCAACAAAGACGCTTCAAATATTTTGAATATATAGAAATTTGCAAACAAAGTCACTTTTATGGATGCAATACTTACCTTTGTAATGCATATGCAATATCACTATACCCTTGTAAAGTGACATTGTTTCTATCATAACTAATATATTGGAGTTTTGAGTTAATCTGTAAAGCTTTGGCCAGGAGTCGTGCCCCACTGTCTCCCATGTAATTTCCACTGGAAAAAGGAAAGGAAAAATATTGAGTAAATATATCAGAATTCCCTATCAAGATGAAACATAAAAAAATTCATAAAAGGATTACACAGGCATATAAATAACACCTAGTATAAATCAAACACAGCATAACCACCCATAAAAGAAACATTTATCACACGGCACCTGCACAAATAAGAGAACTAATATCATATATGAGATCAAATCAATAATAAATTGGCAACAAAAAGAAAAATGTCCTCACATCAGACAGACATCACCTCCTCACCTGATATCTAGACTCTGCAAACAGTGGTTACTCCCCAATGCATTTAGAAGGTTGTGCAAATCTGTCTTCAGCCGGGAGTCATTAATGGAGAGGGACTCGAGAACACAATCTTCCTCCTGAGTGATCCACGAATTGGCAGAGCGCATTTGAAAAGAGGGTTTCTCCCCATTAGGAAAGGGTTATAATGTATAACAGTAATATATAAAACTAAGAAAACTCTAATACCAACTAAATCTTTGCAACTTATTTCAAATATAAATATCATAACCTTGTGTTGCAAAATTAGGAGAGTTAAAACCAATCACATTTATAATAATATATACAAACAGTTTAACTCACACCCTTCAAAACTTAATTAACAAACAAACATGTAAAAATATACATACAATTTCAAAAAATAAAAACACACCTGAATCATCTGTACCACTGACTCCATGACATGGTACACATGCTTGCTCTTAATATTATTAAGATTACGGCCAATACTAAGTTTCCTGATGCTTTTGTTTTTGCTAATTGCGGCTACCACAGGTCCAAGTTGAGCTTCTAAACCTGAAAAATAAACAAAAAATAAACAATTAGTTCTCTATCAGAATCACAAGATCTCTCTAGTTTTGCTAATTTTTATGTCTTACAATATCAACCATGATCAAAGACATGCAGCTATTTGTTTATATGGCATATTGAAATGTCATAACATGTCACAAATTTTAAAATGACATTCTATGATGTTACTTGTAATTCTTATAAATGCATTACCAAACAGACAATTAAGGATTGTGAAGATAAACACAACATAATGGCTTACCATTATCACTGATATCTAATGCTGACAGACATCGAACACCATGAATACAGGACTCCAAAATTTGTGCTCCGGTTCCACCCAATTGATTACTGCTTAAATCTAGGTCCACCTCAGAGATGTTTTCATTACACGCTAACCCTAAAAGTACATTCCTGCCAAGAAAAAAGAGAAATGTAATTAGACATTTTTATATTTTCACAAAGAACTATTTATATAGTCAAGTCCATTCTTGAAAATTCAGAGAGTGCACATTGCTTTGTGATACTTGATCTTCAGACCACCTACTTTCTCTAAAAGCTAGCAAAATAAAAACAGCATCATAACATTTACAACATAAAGCATCTCTGCAGCAGTCTACCTTACACAGCCTACTCACTCTTTCAGTTTTGCTCACTTTCATTTACCCATTTACTCACCAACATTCCTTTTCTCATTCAGTCAACTACTCATCAACGTTCGTTTATCATAACGCTGCTCACTCCCATACACATTCACTCACTCACTCACTCACTCACTCACTCACTCACTCACTCGCACATGTCAGCTTTTATCAGCATTGCCATTACATTACTCACTTGAGGGCATCAGCAGGTAGTTTACATTGGGACAGTGTGAGGGTTTTAAGGGCGAGGGTTGAGGTGAAGTATTGTTTGAAGGAGGGCAGCATCTCTCGGGTCTTCTTGCTGCCGAAACTGTTCCGTGACAGGTTCAGATGGGCCAAACTACTGGTGCATCCTCGTAATAATGCTCCAAACACCTATGAGGATACACAAAGAGATGTCTCTGAAGCAGTTTAATTGACAGCTATATACACACACACATATAATGTACAAATTTCAGAAGTATATTACCAACAGCTTATATGAAGAAAGCATTTTTATAACAAGCTACATGAAAAATGGTTTCAGTATCATTTTTAGCTCATTTTTCAATTCTATTTGATCTACTCTTGCAAGATGCAAATCAATATAATTCTTAAAATGAGGAGCAGGAAGTTGAGGAACAGAAAAGGAGGAGGATAATAACAGGAAGAGAGGAGGAAGAAGGAAAAGAAAAGGAGCAAGAGAAGGAAGAAAGGAGGAAGAAGAGACAGAGTAGACAGCTGAGGATAGGAAAAAAAAAAAAAAAAACAGATTAAAAAGAGAGGAAAATAGACGCAGGAACTAAAATTACAAGTACAAAGACAGCAAATACAAAACATTTCAAGGAAGCACAAATTCTGCTTCTGACTTACAGCATCGATGGCACATTCTGTTGCTGACAGATCAAGAGTCTTCAGCGCATTAGGTTGAGCTAGGAAATTATAAAGATTGTTGACATCGTCCCGTAAGGAGTTGCCAGCTAGACTAAGGAATGTCAAAGTCTGACACATGTACTGAAAGAGAAATGGAAATAAATCAAATTAGTCATAAATCTCTACCAAAGGCAACGGCAGGAGCTTTCTTGCCAAAGTAAAATCTGTTATAGGATTTTCTTTATCAATCAGTGGAAAAGGTAATGAAAATACCTATGTTTTCTCTGCAGAGACATTATAACAAAATAAAACTCATTCACCCATTCAAACTTTCCTAATCTGCCCTGTTTCCTATGTAGTCTTCTAATCAAACAAACAAAATTTCCATTTACTTCTGATCTTCCTTCTTACTCCAATGACCTCTTAACACATCAACCAAAGAACAAAAAAATAAAAAAATAAACAAAAATTTTAAATCAATCACTAACAAAATATATAAATAAAAAGAAATAAAGAAACAATCCAACAATACCAATACCACCTCTCATGACTCACCTTATTGACTGACAGGGAATGTGCTAACATATTGACACCCTTTCCAGTAAGTCCACAAAGGGAGAGATTCAGGTGACTAAGTCCTTTGGCTTGTCGTCCGATGGGATTACTGATGTGAACAGCACCTAGGAGGCGGACGAGGGAGGGAACGAGAGAATAAGGTCATAAAAAGCAATTTGAAAAATGATGAGATCATTCTTTTTAAATAAAAGGATAAAAATAATCATCACATCCGAAACACAAATGCAAAAGTCATCAATATTTGGAGGTCAGATCTGAACAAACTGACTAACATAAAATGAGCAGTCAAAAACAAGAACAAGAGAAAAGGAACGACACTGAGCATCTTTTATGTAAGTTTGTGTGAAACGACGTCACGGTTTGGTGGCATGGGTGGAGCACAGTTATCAGAGAGTGTCCATAG